TGCGACGCGGCCTGAATACCGCCTTACTACACACTCGTTTATTTGAACTGAGGCTTTTATATACTGATCTTGCTGTCACATGATATTTTTTAAAGGAACTTGCTAGTAACCAAATATATAACTTAATGCCTTTCGCCCTTCGTGGTCAAACATGTGTCGGTCTTGCGATAGATGGCGCTTTACTTAGTTATAAATTGTTTTTGTTTAACACACACACAGCCACACAAGTACGCAACTGACGACTTCTGCAGCTCAATTGTAAACACAGCTACGATTTTTTTAATAAAACAGTCTTTCCGTTTGTATCTTTGTTCCCATAATTATTAAGCGTTTGCTTATTTCGACAAACTAGAGACCAAAATCTCTGTTTAAAATATATTTTTGTATCTGTTCTGTCAAAGATATTATTAACAGATATCGCGATATGTTATATACATATTTTGGTCTCAGGAACCTACGGTAAATTTAAATTTGATAAATATGAAATAATAAAGTACTTTTTTTTATGAAATATAATGAAATCTTTTGAACAAACGCTTGTGAATGTTCGTGACAGTTCTTTTCGCCGACCATAATTTTCTGAGAAATGAAATTATTTAAGATAAAAGACAATCGTAATTAAATTTCGAACATTTTTGTCGCATAGTTTTAAAAATATTTATTTGGACTTTTTAGAAGAAATGCTTTTTTTATTTTTGTATGGCCAGTTTTATGTTTTTAAATAAAGAAAATATACAATCAAAACTATCGGATTACGACAGAATATTACTGATTCCATTGATCACTGAAAACTCTGATTTTGAAAAATCGATGTTTTTATTCGATTTTTTGTAACATTATTAGCGTTAGAAGAGAAAAGTTGTTACAATACGTCATCGATATTAAAAAAATAAGCAAATGTGTTCTAATTTCAAAAAAATATTTTTATGCCCGCCGTTACAACGTTGTTGACAATGATTTTGATTTGATTTCGATGAAGCGTCAAATGTGACTTTAAATTGGCCCAACTATATCGGATAATCTTTATGATTTTACTGTTTTTGGTAGATAAATATATGTATAGCGTTCAGTGGGAATGTTGGTCCCAACACGAATACGGTATAATCGACGCAATACGCAATATTTATTTCTGCGCATTATTTTTTCTATAGTTATAGATGCCGGTTGTTGGCTAGGATGTAGCGTTGTCGTGATGTAACTGTAGCGTGAATGTGACCCAGAAACTGGCGGTGGCTGGGAATTAGTTGGCATTGTTATTAGCGACCTCTTCCGTCGAGACGTCGCCCGTATCACCATTGTGCTCTGCCTTCTCCGGCTTTTATATTTTCATTTTTTAAAGTCGGAGAAAGCGCATTCTAAATGAACTGGAACGTCGCTATTGTGGTTTTTTTATTTATAGAATTGTTACATAAATAAAAATACATTGTCTCAGGAAAATTACATAGTTTTTAGTAAAAAAAAAATTAAAATGTTTTTGCCTAGATGTCGCTCTAAGATAAAATTGGTGATAATGGCCAGTGAGATAAATATTTTTTTAAATATGAAAAAAATGATACTGTATTTTTTTGAAAAACTGTTTTTTTTTCGTTCCATTTTGAAACATCGTCTGTAAGTCAGTGCTCAACATTGTAACGATGTTCGATGGTCGTCTATATCTATATAATTAGTAAAATAAGAGTGTCTGTATGTAATGTAAAAAATACTAATTTTTAAAAAGTATATCTGCTTGTCCGCAAGTTAACGTTTGTTCCGTGTAATCTCCGAAGTTAATGGACCAAATTCGTCGGGCCTTTACTGGAAGATGGCTGTTGTGTGCTGGAGTAACTTAAACTATTACTTTCCTTTATACTACACTAACGAAAATTGAAAGAAATTAAGCAATTATGCAGTTAAAATTCAAATAAATAATTTATGCCCGCCGTTTTTAGGTTGAATTTTCATGGTTGAATGTCAAATATGATCTATAAAATTAGCTATAAAATAGAATTCATAATACAAACCTAGTATTCAGAGTAAACAATGACAAGAGATATTATTAAAATGCTTTATTATCACAGAGTTCTGATATTAAATACGACACAACAAAAGAAGAAAGGACGGCGTTTTTTATAAAATTGCCCGCAAAGTAAAACCGAAATTAATTAATATATTTCCCCTGTGAGTTGCGAATGTACAAGGAATTAATTATGAAATGTTCAATTTTTTAAAGAGATATTTTGAAATATTAAACCTGCATTCATGTAATAAAAAATATACGCTTTTCAATCAACCAATGGTTGTCTATTAAAGACAATTTTTTTTTAACTATTAAAAAATAAATTAAAAAAAACAGCCTAAAAATACCTATAATTTTTCTACTATTATTTCTATATTTATCTTAGTTACAATTTTATATTTACGAAAAAAAAAACATTTTCAAGTACATTTTCCAGTATTCAAAAGGGTTCAACCTTTACTGAGCTTTTGAAAATATAATGAGCATCGCAAAGGTCAGAGAAGGGTTGTAAAAAATTGTATAAAAGCCCAAAATTAGCTTAGTTCTTGCATTTTGCATGATTTTAGTTCTTATATACAAAGTACTAACACATATATGTACATTTAATCACAAGTTTGAAATCATGTTCGCAATTTGAACAGTTTTAAGACGCCCGAGGGAGTTTGCGCCATCGTGATAGTCCTTCACTTGTTTTAACCGGTCATTTGTAATTCACACTTACTAATCCCAAGAAGTAAGAAGTGCTCTCTTTTAAATTAGTATTTTTTAAATTGTTCATAAAAATCTTGTACTAACTACGTATATAAAATGTCTACAGATCCTTGTTTATATTTAAGTCTTATGCACTATAATCCGAGGCCCCGAATAAGATGTACGACATGTTGTCTAGTTCCGCGAAACCTCGACATCTGCTCGCCGGCGGGATACGTTTATTGCTGTGGTCAACCAGCTGTGAAAATAGAGCGTAAGGGCGCGTTTCCACGGTATACGATTCTGTACAAAACGCAGACAGCGTAACGTGTCCGTCAGTTAGGCCCGTCGGGATTAACTTCGAGTTAATCGCTATTTACAATGAGTGTGCGTACCGTGGTCTTACAATCTTAGAGTAACGTACTGTGGACACGTGCCTTTACACATCAAGACAACATAAAGTTCACCACATCAGCGTTAAACAACGCACTATTTTATACTTTTTTATGTTGTTAAGCAGGAACGTTACATCTGGAGTCATTTTCAAATAATTCGTCAATTAATCGTTGTACAGTTTGCTCCTGGAATAGTTCTTTACAGACATGTCTTGGTGCTATAAAACCAAGCAAATAAAACATGACCAATGTATTTACGACACACGAAATGTCTTAGAATTCAAGTAGAGTACATATTCATTCATAATTAACAATCAGACGTAACAATATTTACATTTACATAAACAACATCTTGTACTCTTGTGTTTTGTTCACGATTGTACAAATATGTATGTATGAATTTTAATTAGTTACCGAAATGGTTCACATGCATTAAACAAAGTTTATTTTGCATATGCGAAGTGCTGACGTCTTGTACACGTTCTAACGACCACAAATAAGCTATGAAGCTGAAGGCAACAACAGCAAACAAATACGGTACACAATGTTTACTCATTAATTTTAGCTAAGACGTTTATATGTTGTATAATGTAAATGTTTACATAACTATTGCACAGTTGGCATTGAATGTTAGTTGGCCACTTTGTTTTATTGTTAAATAGCTAATAGTTACTCTATTTTATTAATAACAAATTTCTGCCAGTCTGCGCCCGCGGTTAAGGACGACGTATGACGTTTGCTTCAAGAGTAGAGTGTATGGGCATTTAGTAAGCTAGCGCGTAGCAGCATTCAACCACGACTTAACATCAGGTGGGACGTAATCAAGCGTTAGTTTATTCAATATAAAAAAGCGACGGGCACAAGTTCTGTACCCTGTATGTATATTTACTTGCTTATGTAGGCAATGAATTAACTTTATCATATAAATAATCTCTTTGAAGTCTTGTTTATAAAAATTCAATAATCTTTCTCCGGTATGTTCATCTCGTACCTGCTCCCATTGTTATACCGTATTGAATAGCAATATCGGGCGAAACTACAAAGATGTAGGTTATCTAGATATGACAACTAGGTCATAAATGAACATTTATTCATGCTTTTATCACAATAGATAACTAAATTTAAAACTAAAGCTAAAAGAAATTATAAAAGGCGTATAGTAACTTAGTGCTTCCATTTATATTATTTTCGTTACAGTTTTAGTAACGAAAATAATTGACAACAAGAGATATTTAACAAAACAAACTTTGTAATATTATTGAAACATGTCTCTTCCAAACGATTCCCTTGATGTACATCTTGTGACGGCGAACATCCCCGGGGCGACCCGGGCGTGCATTATTCATATGGGACTTTACGGCGAGCCACCTCAGTATACTGACGTCACAACTCTATGAAATATATTATTATTTGAAATGTTGAAAGTATATTTAGGTAGCTTGAAAAGGTACTTTTAATGAACTTGTTTTTTTTGTGATAATATTTCATCAGATTTTGTAGGCATCTTGTATTAATGCTTGTCCCTCGCTGATGTAGTTATGCAGTATAGTTTCCTGCATTATTCATTCCTAGCTTTCGCCTACCACTCCGTCGGCGCGGAATAAAAAAAAACTTAATTAGCCTATGTGTTATTCCAGACTATGTTCTATATCTATGTCAAATTTCATCAAGATCCGTTCAGTCAGTCTGGAGATTCCTTCTAACAAACATCTAAACTTTGGCATTTATAATATTACGAAGAAGGAAGTTAGTTTGAATGTTAAGGATTTTTTTGTTATCAAGCGATTCTACGACTACGGAAATATCAAAGAGTTAACTTTTTCATTGTATGTTTGTCATTCATTTGTTTGTCTTTGTGATGAAAATAATAGCAAAGATATTGGTGTGATAACACATGCTAATTTTAATTATTGTTGCAGAGTCAACTGTGGGACGAGTTTGAACTAGAAGACGCGACCTTCGCGGAGTGCAGCATCAACAACGCTAACAATAGCTTTCAAGTAAGCACGCCTTATACTAGCGATACCTGCGACTTCGCATAGACACCACTATAGAGTAATAAATATAGCCTATGTCACTCGGAATAGTATAGCTTCCCAACGGTGAAATAATTTTTCAAATCGCTGCAGTAGTTTGGGAGCCTAATTAATATAAACAAACAAATGTATTTTTAATATTACTAGCTGTTGCCCACGGTTTCGTCTGTAACCGTCTGTTCTTCCAAGCTATGTATGTATGTACCTTGCTACGTACACACAAGGCAAATTTCATGTCTTTGCTGAAGTTCTGTACTTACCTTCTAACATGCATGCATGGATGACCATCCAAACATTCGCATTTACAATATTAGTAAGATTTAATTAAGATTTATTAGATAGTTATAGAAACTACATAATGAATGAATTGAGTGTGCTATCCTAAACAGTATTCTATCCAAAATTATTGATAGATGATATTAAGGGATGATACCGATGATACTTAGGGATGATAGCGTTTCAGATATAATTAACGTGACCTCAATACGTGATGGAGCTCAGTGTCGTAGGCTGGCAAGTAGGTCGCGCAATAAAGATGGCGCTGCGATCACTCACTACCTCCCCCTCTACCTCACTGCCGGCCCTCATCTGTCACACGTCGCTGAAGATTGTTCAGCTTTAAGAGGTTAATAAAACATAGCACCGGTAATATAGAAATTTATTACCAACCTACCTGGTACTGGTGATATCAAAAGTGTAGCTTACGCGAGATTATTTTGCTACGTCCCTTGAATAAGATGAGAGCTTGACAATTACTTAGTAAATAAACCTCTTTCATAAGTCTAGTGGGCCCCGAATTTTCACGCATTGATTGAAATTCGACCTTAATTCATTATCAAAGACTATTCTAATTTTTAAAAAATGCTTCCTGAACATTTTCTCGACGATAAATTTGATGTTATATTAATTTGATACATAATAAATATACATGTTTTTATTTTGAAGGACAGTGTTACATACTAACCATGGGTTTCTTAAACCAAAATCTCTGTACAAAAGATGTCGTCATCTTTGATGAAAGAGAGTTGACAATATGTTTTAAAGGAAGATTTTAACCTCAGAAACCCACAGTAAGAACGAACGGAATTAAGAACACTCGAAATCGACAAGCTCGCATAGATATATAAATGTGAAAGGGGAGTGACAGGATTGCGCCAAAGGAAAATCCGAAATCTGCTTGCGGAACATTGTAGATTACGGTCGTGAGTTATTTAAAAATTGCAACAGAAATTTGTGAATGCAATTTTCCTTTTTAAAATATATTTAATATTTTTATTATTATCAAGTATATTTATAACATTCACAATATAGTTTCACTTGAATGGTTCTCTTATAATGAACTCTACATACAAATATAGCCCACTCTATGCCGCCATATTGGATTGCCAGCTTGAATACTCTTGCTGCACAATAAACTATTGTGCGACTGAAATGATGCAGACTCCAACAGATGTTAATATTAATTTCTTTATTACTTACATGTTAAAGGCTTTTATTTGAGCTATATTTACTTGCGGCATGTATTATATAATTTGAAATATTTTTAAATTACGTGGAAAAATTAAAAATACTAGCTGTCGCCTGCGACTCCGTCCGGATGGTATTAAAAATAACTTAATTATTAGCTTATGAGTTCTGCCAGACTATGTTCTACATCTATGCCAAATTTCAACGATATCCATACAGGTGTTTGCGAGATATCTGCAAACAAACATACGGAGTTAATATTATGTTGGTAAAAAATTCAGTACCGACTTGACCAAAACCCTATTGTCATGCAACGTTTTCGTTAGGTTTACCTTTTATCTTCACGTCTCCATGTACAATCCTCGAGAGAAAGGAGGAGAAAATAAAACATTTTTACTCAACTAATAGAAAGTTTATGATATTGCATAATACTTCTTATGTGAACAAAACACGTGTAAGATGTATTCAAATACGCGTACAATAATATAGAAACAATTATTTTGTAAAAGCAGTTACATCATTTGCTTCGAGAGACTTACGTCATTTCTCAGCGAACACGAATATTTTCATCCAGTTTCCTTTAGTTACATTGTTTTGAGAAATTTCTCCTTTGTTGCTAATATCAAACATTTTAAACATATTCTTTAAGATAAAATAAATGACGTAATTTATTTTAAAGGCGAAGTTTTTAATACAACTGTGGGGATTGCACGAATATTTGTGACTAACGCCATCGTGTCATCATCGACAAAATTTATATTGAAATTCGGGCAGTGCCCCCTGCCGGCCGTAAAGTACACTAAAAATCTCATACTAATTTTGACATATTTGACATTGACAATACGAAGGCGCTTGTCGAAAATATTTGTGCTAGGTGCACTTAAATGTTGAATAAAATATATATTTAGTTATCTTCTTTCAGAATCCCTTACGAAAAGAACAAATTTAAAAAGTAAATAAAGGTTTATAGTAACGGGCAGTTTGGTAAAAGGCACTTTGTAGCAGGAGCCTAAATGTCGCAGTTATTTTTAATGTTTTCAATTACCCTGGACTCAGTTAAATCGTATTTTTAGGCTGTAGTGTACGCTCAATACACTTTAACGGCTGGAAATATTTATCGCTGAATAAAATGTAACAATTTGTTTCTAATTGGTATATTATTTGTTATTCCTATATTAATTTTTGGAATAGAGCCAATATTTTTTGTCTATATTTTTTTAGAATTCAAATTGTATTCCATATTCAAATATTCGTCATGTTAGTGAATGGACATGAAATAAATTGTAACTGGCAACCGTGTTGACTTGCGGAGAAGAATTTAAAATAAAAAATTTCGAATGAAGCTGACGAATATAAAGTCTTCGCACTCATTCTCTTTACAAAAAACAAACAGAGATAACAATATAACCAACAATTAAGTAAACATTGTACGAATAGCAAAGTAAACGGAAAATATTTCAAAATCTCAGCATTATGTTGGAAACTCTCCGCTGAAACGTAAATGTATATTTACAAAACATTTAGGACGGCAGGGACGCAGCAATTGCGACTCGGAAGTGCCGGCACCCTCGTTAAGATGTACTTGTTTTATTTATTCAGGCCCTGTGTTTGCGAGCTTCGATACGTGAAATGACAAGTAGGCAAATTGTAAGCTTATGTTTTACTAGCTGTCGTCCGCGACTACGTCCACGCTGATTTAAAAAAATAAATATCCATCTAACCATACATCCAAACATTCGCATTTATAATAATGGTAAGAAAGCTAAAAGCTATAAAATTTTGGATAAGCCTACGTATATAACATTTATATTTTTTAGCACTGTTAGTTACACTCACTCGAATATGTTTTAGTGCCATTACTTGTACGCCTTTTGTTATTTTAAATGCATTATGCTGACATTTCGATTATTACAGCGATTGATATTTTTTTTTTGGTAAATATGAAAAATAGTAATGAGGATTTAAAAAGTTATGTAATTTCTAACCAACTTATTAATTTATAAGTTTTTTTTAAATAAAAAGTTTCTACTCTATGGACATTATACGTACACGCGTTTATTTTTACGACAAGTCTAACCTTTGGTATCTCGCGGTCTTTTAAGGCCTATCTCCGAATAATGCTTTTATTTCAATAAAGGGCACATTACACCGCGATCACAACCTCCCCGGGACCATTCCCTACTTAATGTAAAACCTTTTATCTCCGCCATTTTGGGGACGTTTTTGTCAAAGCTACGTGAGCTGTTTCCGGGATACAGAGTTATTATATACAGTTGTTCTTATCTATCGTTGACAATAATGTATACCTAAGACCGTGTTTTAGATAAATACTGCACGGTGACGGTGAATTAAGTAAGTTTGTAGGCCACAGGAATGATAGAACCTATTATGAATATTTGTAACGTCTTCTTTTGTTTAAGATTTGTCTATCTTTACGCCCGATGGAGGCGTTGGACAAAACTAATACAAATTTTATCAACGACGTTGCGACATCGCTCTTGCAAATTTTCTAGCTAGGCCATCTGGGATGGTAAACCACCAAGTGTCATTAATGACACGCGTGCCGTTGGTTTTGACATATATAAATAGGTATTTTATTGGAATAAATTAAAATAAATTATACACGGAAACAATTTTGAGATCACAATCCATAGAAGTCTCTGTTCGTATCCTGTGCTGTCTCTGCAAGGGTAAACTTGGACCAACTTAAATTGCTATCTCCAAGTTGAAGAGCTTCGGGCGCCTCATTGTTATTCTTAACAAAACTTATTTTCAATTTAACATCTTTTAATTAAGTATCACATTGTATTAAACTTCTTCGTTATTCATTCAAGTAAAAGTTACGTTTGTCAAAGAAAGTAGAGATTAAATAAATGTTTTGTACAGTTTTTCAACTTTTCGGAAATTTTACAAATCTATTTCAGCATTTTGTTAATTATATTCGTACTTTTTTAATAAAATCCTGCAATATCAATATTGAATCCCGAATGTTTTAAATTTTTATTTATGAATTTTCATAGAGATTTATGGAGACCAGAAAGATGGTGCTTATGGATCTTTTTAGAATTCTCTGTATTTTTACGTGTTCGTCTAATGGTTGTACGTTATAGGTGATAACAGCGCGACGCTGCGTGGTGCTGTGCGCGGAGAGTCGCGGCGATATGGAGTCGTGGGCGAGCGCGCTGCGTGGGGCGCTGCACCGCGGCGCCGACGTCGCCGACCTCGTCGCTCGCCTTTCCTCTGGGGACCACCATTGGTACACATGATACATTGGACAATACAATAATACTCATTTATTTAAAGCGTCAAATGACTCCTCAACTTTACTTAGGTATGCGGCAACACACGCGCGGCCGACTTTCTGCAACGTGTGCCGCGAGCCGCTGGGCGCGCTGGGCACGGCGCACGCGCTTGCCTGCGAGCTATGCAAGTACAAAGCGCACAAGCGCTGTGCCGCACGCGCGCCTCCATCCTGCAAGTGGACCACACTCGCCTCACTCGGCCCACACGTCGTTGAAGACGCTGAAGGGGTAAAAATTGCGAATTTCAATTTCTCTTTAAACAATAATATGGGATATATAGTTGCTATAGATTATTCGGTTTTAAGTTTTTGTCAAGGTTACACGCATTCATGCACTCATTGTAATGTAGGAGAATTTTTGTGTCACAATTTTTGTACAGTGAAATTTTTTAACGTAATAGCATTCAAATTTATTCGGCTATGTTGAAATTATTAGCCGCGAAGGGACCGGATGGTCATAATACAACATCCTTCCACGCTTCACAACCCTCGAGAGGGATGCTCGTTGCTCGTTAATTTGGGAAAGCTTTCAGCACAAAATAAAATACATGTTCCACTCCATCTTTTGTGAATCTTATCTTTTCAACTTTTCAATCCGTACGCTTCAGTGAAAGTAATCCAGTTATATTCAAACCTTCTCAGCTTTCAGCATTGAAATGTAATCAAGAGTAACACAGTAATAAAAACAAATAAGCATGAATTTCCCAAATAGTGTATTATTTGTTTTCGTATTAATATGAGAGAGAAATAAATTAGAAAATAGTAAAATTTAATGAAGTTATATTCACAACGAAAATGAATTGCGATTTCTAGCGCCTAACATTTTCTATTAGCTAAATAGCAAGAGAGTATATTCTTCATTTTGTTGCAGAACATAATAATGCCGCACCAGTGGCTGGAGGGCAACCTGCCTGTGGCCGCCAAGTGCGACATCTGCGACAAGACCTGCGGCTCTGTGCTGCGGTGAGTAACACATGCCAGAGGATTAATGCATCTTAGTACTTTTTACAAATAACGTTAAAATTTTTGTAACAATTTAACAATAGCTGTTGCCCGCGACTCCGTCCTTAAAGATTTAAAAAAAAACCTAAGTAAGTAACTTTTTAAGAACTATGTTTTACATCTGTGCCAAATTTCAACGAGATCCGTTCTGCCGTTTTGAAGATATCTTCAAACAAACATCCAACCATTGAAACATTCGCATTTATAATATTTGTAAGATTTAATTAGCGTATTTATATTAAATGGTCTCTTACGTTTTTCACTTAGTTATTTCAACTTTTATTAGTTAACACTATTTTCCTATTCATTGCTACACTATTACTGCAGTATACGTATTGAATTGCATACAAACGTAATGCGAATGGCTCTACAAATAGACATGTTCATGGTCTGTCGAGCTGCGGGCAACAAAGTGCCATTACTGAGATGGCCTACACTAATCGTTATGGTACAACGTCTATATAATGTTGTATTGCAAATTCCAATTGCAATAGCGTAATAAACCTTTATTGTTTAACGTAAGCAGATACTAACTACCATAACGTCATGAATTGCTCGATTATTAAGGATAAAAGCTTTTCATTATCATCAGCTAACTATATGTCCCCGCTGAGGGGCTCGGAACTCTATGTTAGGGGTGACTAGGCCATAGTCAACCACGCTGGCCCAGTGCGGGTTGATTTCACATTTATCTTTAAATTTCTTCTCAGATATGTACAGGTTGCATCACGATGTTTTCATTCATCGTAAGAACGTCGAATAAATGCACATATGTAAAGCAGTATAATTTTTTAATTAATTCATATTGATTTATTATTACAAATTTAATGAAAATAAGCAACTTGTTCCATTTATAAGTCTACGAATATATTTATTCTTTGAGATATAGTAAAATACCTAAGATATTTATATCTGAGTTGATGAAGACATTCCGCGTTATCGTACAATAAGGGTCACCCTACAAACGTTCCGGGCGACATTTACTGAAAGCGGTTTGAATTTAAAATGAAGCACCGGCAGAATGTCGGTCACCCAGATCTAATTTAGACCGACAGAGTACGATGACTGCTGGAAAGTGTAGCTGCAACGACATAACTCCACGTATGATAAACAGTGGCTTTCCACAGTGACATTCCTATTGACACATAGTCTGTTTTATCAAAGACCATAAAAGAGATAACAACAAGTACTTATTACGACAGTGGAATTCAACGGTTAGATAAAATAAAGCTGTCGGCCGTGACTTTGTCCTCGCGGAAAAATACTTTGTAAGTAGCCTATTAGTACTTAAAGGCTAAGTGCTATATGTATACCAAATTCCAGCGATATCCGTATCCGTATGATCTGTTCATCGTGTCCAAAAAGAACGCGAACACGAAACTTTTTGGCGGTAAAATCAAACCTAAATTTTACAACACGTTATTAAGGACAACACAATTATTTATACTTTTGTGAGAAATTATTGAACAGTATAAAGAAAAGACTATAAATAGGTCTAGTCGGTACCGACACGGGTCTAATTATACGTGAGTTTTATAACACAATTATTTACTTAATTTGCATAACACATTTAGAATAATATCTTTTATAATAATAATATCTTTTGTAAGACAAGATAGCGCGTTGGATAATGGTGTAGTTTAACAATGTACATTAAAACACAAAGCTGTATAAAGCATTACAAAACCTCCGCGTAAGCTTTGACCTACATTTTATATTTGTGCAACTCGCTATGGAGCATTAGAAGTTTTTAAAATTTTTCAAAGATATAACAACTAATGGCGTGAAAACGACTTCGAATTTTTGCATTCTTTTTAACTATTCTTACTTTATTTTCCTTTACCAAGTTTTTGATATTTAACAGCTATAATTAGTTAGAGAAAATAGAGTCTTATTGGAACACTTAAATAGATTAATTTGCGATATAAAGTAAGAAGATTTCAACGTCTGAAGTAGAGAAGATGAAATATTTCTCGTTGTTATAAACAATAACAACAAATCTATCATTAATCAAGTTTATTTAACGAAGTTGTACAGTACTCCACAAAGTTTCTCTCCCACTTTGTTAGCGTATAGATTTCAGAAGCCACTCGTCGCCTGACTTGAGTGCACTCGGTACAAGAATTGTCTAACAACGTCTACTCGGGTTGCCGACGCTTTAGTAAACTTAAGATAGATTGATATAGCTACTTTTACGTACAATTGTTGATTTTATCTCGTCCTCAGTGGATGTAAGTGTATTGGAAGCCATAAATCAAAGGATGTGTGGTGAAACAAGCGATTTCTAACCAACGATTTATTTAATCAACAAGTAACATCGCCAGTTTTTGACTTAACTTTCACTGTCTAAATTTGACCATATTGGTGATTCTGAGGGTTCTATAAAAGATATTAGTAATGAAGGAAAAATTCAAAATACAAGTTTAAGTTCTTCGTGGTTATTTATACCAAATGATACCATCGAAGTCATTGTATTGTTCGTCGTAATAAAAAATTACATATCTGCAAGGTCTTTGCGAACAAAGCTTTCATCGATAATACACGATCGATATTTAACGTATGCAATGGTTTTTATTCTTCCATTCTCCGTATATGTTACTGCCGACCGAAGTTTTTATCAGTAGAACCGTCAGGAAAGCAAAAATATGTCTCATTTTCAATAAATATTCTGTTATTAAGAAAATTCAAGTTCAATTCATATATGTAATATATTTTCTGACAAAATTAAAAGTGATAACAGAGCCACTCTCATCGAACAACATGTTCGGGGGACTGGGAATTATTGTCTCCTACACTACTTACCAATTTTAGAATTATGGTATTTGATGCTTTTTAATTTAGCTTGCAAGATTTCCGTTGCGTGTGGTGCCGTAAGTGCGTGCACGCGCAGTGCCGGCCGGGCTGGCGCGCCGCGTGCTCGCTGGGCCCCGCGCGCGCCTCCGTCGTGCCCCCCACCCGCTTGCACTCCGTGGGGCCCGACGACGGCTGGCTGCCCGACAGACCGCCCAACGCCTCGCCGCTTATTGTCTTCGTCAACTCTAGATCAGGTTGGCTTTTACCGAAGAAATCTTAAGACTACGACATGATTGTGATTTCAGGTAATATAATAAAATTATATTGCAGGCGACAACCAGGGTGTGAAGTTTCTCCGGCGCTTCAAGCAGCTGTTGAACCCGGCGCAGGTGTTCGAGCTGGCGGGCGCGGGGCCGCGGCTCGGGCTGCGGTTGTTCCGACACTTCGCCCCGCTGCGCGCGCTCGTCTGCAGCGGCGACGGTTCTGTCGGCTGGGTGCTGCAGGAAATTGACAAGCTCGATATGCATGTACGAGTACATATCTTCCCAACTACATTCTCATTTTCCAAAATATTTAATATATTTTCAAATCTCTTCACAAAAAAATCCTAAATCTCTCTCTTTCTCTGTGGCTTACAATGGCATAATTTAATTTGTTGCCTTCTTTGTCATTGTTGTTGTTGATCTGTGTGGCACAGCAACAAGTGCAGACGGCGGTGCTGCCGCTGGGCACGGGCAACGACCTGGCGCGAGTGCTCGGCTGGGGCGCCTCCTGCGACGACGCCGCCAACCTGCAGCAGCTGCTCGAGCGGTACGAGCGCGCCTCTACCAAGATGCTCGACAGGTCAGGAATACCATGTTGCACTGACACTTATATCTAGGTCACCGTTCAATCGCCTTTGCGATCCTTGAATATTGAACATTTTCTTAGGTGGTCGATCATGACGTTCGAGCGCGCGCTGACCGCGCCCCCGCCTCCCCCCGTGCCGCCCGACCTGCTGGACGAGTCCACGCTGCTCAAGAACTTGCAGGATATCATGCAGGTAGATCATCGGATGTAAATACACAAGTAAATCTCCAGAAGGATCACATAATATAACCGTGGTGTGATGTGAAATGTTTGATGAAGGCGGGTGAGGTGAGGTGCGCGGCGAGCAGGTCGCTGCGGGAGGGGTGCGCGCGTCTGGCGGCGGCGGGGGAGTGCGCGGGGGGCGGGGCGGCGCGCGCGGCACACCGGCTGCGGCGCGCACTCTCGTTGCTGCTGCACGCCAGGACGCACCTCGCGCACGACCACGCGCGCTGCAGGTCTGCACCACACTCACATTGCATACCATTCCGACTTTCAAAGAGCTCTTATATGTAGCAAAACTGCAGTATGCTCGCGAACTTTAACATCGCTTCAAGAAGAGCCCACATTAATATGACTATATCGTAGTTGGTCTTTTTACTTAAATCCTAGACAAAAAACAATTATATTACCATAGTTACAATTAGTTATGAAACATATCCATGTAATTTAGATTTTTAAAATAATTTTCAGTTTTGAGTATAAATATTGATAGGTTGTCAAACAATAATATTTCTTTAAATATTGATAAGTTTTGATGTTATCGGTGGGCCGTGGCGCGCGGCACGGTAGCCTTTGCAGTAGTCCTACAGACGAGCAAGAGCTCTGCAGGTCAGCTCTCAAAGTTCATTATAGTAGAGGCACATAGAGTAGTCGACCGGCTCCCCTACACTCTTGCACCTCCTACATGTAGTTGGAGCTACCTATCGACTCACTAGAATTTGTAGCAAAATTAGATGCATAAGGTTTGTAAGTTTTAAAGAACAATTTAGCGATGCAAAAGTAAACAGATGACACGCTATAAACACAGAATGGATTCATTAACTATGAACTATTAAGACTGACTCCGTCGCATACTACAATTTGCATAGATCGTGGGAGCCGGCGGAGAACACGACCAGTGACAGCGAGCCTGATGCTCCCGCGGTCGCCGAGAAGGGCATCATTGAAAAGACTGAAAAGGTATACATACATAGCACCGTAACAAATGTAAATAAAAACTCAAATGTGAATTATAATACATTAAAAGCTATTTCAATAGTTTTGTTTTTGTGTATCAGACATGTACAGACAATCTAATTTATCTTGTCGAATATAAAATGATATGTATGTTGGCAGGAGCAGCTGAACTGGGCGGCGCGCGGCTGCTCGCTGGCCGGGCGCGCTGACAGCGTGCGGCGCGCCCTGCGCTCCCTCGTGCGCACCCTCGTGCACTTGTACCCGCAGGTACATACATGTACACATTTACACCGCATGTGTACACAATTACATCGCAATTGTACACATCATGCATTTATACAATTGCAATCCTAGCAATCTGCATCGCAGCAAGAAGCAGGAGGCTGGAACGAGATCACTGGAGAAGCGGGGGCGGATACTGAACGTGCTGGGGCTGGGGCTGGGGCGGGGGCCGG